CTGTGAGGACGCGAGTGCAAGTGGTGGCCCCCTTGGGGAGGGGACCAAAGCCAGCAGGGGCGCAATGATGTCACAGCCCCCTGGGGTCAGTGGGCGCTCAGTCCTGCTGGAGACCGGGAGACCTGCGTGGAGCTGGTGTCTGAGTCCCCGCAGCCAAAGGGGACAAAGGGGGTGTGTTCTGAGTCTGACTCAGCCCCCACAGCAGAGGGAGGGCGCTGCTCTGGGCAGCTCTGCTTTGCCTGGGCAGGCACAGGGGCGGGGGCTCCCGCAGCAGGAGGTGGCTCTGTCTTCAGGGTGAGGGGCAGCGCCCCCTTGCGGGATGTGTCACGACCCTCCTTGCCTCGCTCTGCAGGGAGGCTCGAGGTCATGGGTCCTGGGATTGAGGGAGGGGCCGGGAAGGACCCGGCAGAGCAAGGGCCCTGCGGCATGGCTGTTCCTACCCCAGAGTGCTGGCGCGAGCTAGGAAGGCCCTGCCCTCGCACTTGCCCCATGAGCCCCCCTTCACCCGTCAAACGTCAAACGCCCGCCTTGGATCCCACGTCCTCCAGTTTCCTAGGTGATGACCCCTGCCCGGCGACTTAAACTACAGACTTTCATCCACCCACAGTTCCAGAGGCCGGAAGGCTGGGGTCCAGGTGTGGGAGGGCTCGGGGGGAGGGGTGTCTTGTGGCTGCTGCTTCTCAGCTGGTGGCAGTGTCACGCCAGCTTCTGCCCCCAGCCCCTGTCGTCTTCCCATGGCCGCTCCCCTTGTGTCTTACACGGAAACCTGTCATTGGATTTAGGGGCTGCCCGAAACCAGGATGGTCTCATCTCAAAATCCTTACTTTTTTTTTAAAGATTTATTTATTTTTTACTTATTTGAAAGGCAGAGTTACACAGAGAGAGAGAGGGCGAGGTCTTCCATCTGCTGGTTTACTCCCCAAATGGCTGCAACAGCCAGGGCCGGGACAGGCAGAAGCCATGAGTGGGGAGCTTCTTCCAGGTCGCCCGTGTGGGTGCAGGGACCCAAGCCCTTGGGCCATCCTCTGCTGCTTTTCCCGGGTGCATTAACAGGGAGCTGGACTGCAAATGGAGCAGCCGGGACTTGAACTGGTGCCCCTCATATGGGATGCCGGCGCTGCAGGCGGCACCATAACCCACTACGTCACAGCAGGGCCCCCAAATCCTTCCCTAATTGCACCCACAAGGGCCCGTATTCCCAGGGAGGTCCTGGTCTAAGGTTCTAGGGGCCGTGTCGTTGGGGGGGGGTGCTGTTCCAGCCACTGTGCTGCATTTCGCAAGTTTTCTGTAGTCACCCTGGCATTGCTCAGGGTTATGGCGGCCTCATGTACCAAGCCCAGCCGCTTAAGCAGCCGGTTTTCCCGTTAGAAGCACTGGCCAGGTCCCAAGCACTCTCCAGGTCCGGCAGTTTCTAGGCCAGTAGGAAGGCATGAGGGAGCCATCGGGGCCCGGGGCTCCCCCTGGTGGAGGCGGCCATCGCTGACTGTGTAATCCTGGCAGCTGGAAGGCGGTTCCATGCCTGGGCACTGAGCGAGCGTCCTTCACCCTCCTGTAGGAAAGCCAAGGCCTCGGGCTCAGAGGGCTGCTTCCCTGGAAGCCTCCTGCAGGCCCGCGGGGATGGATGTGCCCAAGGCACGTGTGACTGCGTCTCACGGGACGGAGCCGTGTCCCCTGGGGGACTCAGGGAGTCCCTGCCCTGATAGGTTCTGATGGACAGAAGGGTGAGCTTTAGAGATGGGCGGGCAGCGGCCATGGGTAGTGGGCAATCACGCTACAGACGGTGGCGCCTTAAATTCGGGCTGGCTTCCTGGTGCAGCGGGTGAAGCCTCCGCTTGTGCCCCGGGCATCCCACACTGGAGCGCTGCTTTGCGTCCTGGCTACTCTGCTTCCAATCCAGTTTCCTGCTAATGTGCCTGGGGGGAAGGCACCAAGTACCTGGGCCCCTGCCAACCATGTGGGAGACCCGGATGGCGTTCCAGGCTCCTGGCTTCAGCCTGGCCCAGCCCCAGCTGTTGTGGCCACTTAGGAAATGAACCATGGATGGATTCTTAGCCCCCACCCCCATAAATAAATAAATATTTTCAAAAATTCCCATGATAGGGGTTCCCCATGTTGTTATAGGACATTGACAGGGATTGATTGATTTCGAGGATGTGTCACAGTCAGTGTATTGTGGGTGCCCTGTAACTTCTCTCTCTATTTTTTTTTTTTTTTTGGACAGGCAGAGTGGACAGTGAGAGAGAGAGACAGAAAGGTCTTCCTTTTTGCTGTTGGTTCACCCTCCAATGGCCGCCGCGGCCGGCACACCGTGCTGATCCGATGGCAGGAGCCAGGTGCTTCTCCTGGTCTCCCATGGGGTGCAGGGCCCAAGCACTTGGGCCATCCTCCACTGCACTCCCGGGCCACAGCAGAGAGCTGGCCTGGAAGAGGGGCAACCAGGACAGAATCTGGCGCCCCAACCGGGACTAGAACTTGGTGTGCCGGCGTCGCAAGGCGGAGGATTAGCCTAGTGAGCCGCGGCGCCGGCCACATAACTTCTTTCAATCTCATACCTTCTAGACTCTCAGCGCCTCTGTTTCACACAGCGGGGCCTGGTCCCAAGGGCCTCAGCACCAAGGTGAACCCAGGGAAGAGGCATCAGAGGCAGCGGCTGGGGTGACGTCAACGCTGGAGCCCAGAGGTGGCGAGCTCAGCAGGGGACAGCGCCCGGGAAGAGCCTCCCGCGGGAGAGAGACACGCCAGCTCGTCTCCTCCAAGCCTGCGCTCGCTGGCCCTCGGAAAGCTGGCCAGGTCGGGAGAGAGAAAATAGAGGAACGCCTTGGAGACTTCTCTGCATCTTTGGGCGGGGCCGCTATCTTTGGATCCACGCGTGTGACATCCATAGCAACCAGCCAGCGGGGGGTTCAGCAGACTGTGCGTGGCCCGTGGCCCGTGAGCCAGCCCAGGTCACGGCAGCACGGCGTGCTGGAGCCGCGAGGAAGGTGCTCCGTGCGTGCACCTGTCTGCCTGGCAGAGCCGAGGGAAGCCGGGGCCTCCTCAGGGTTAGACAGGAGCCATGGCCTGGGAAGTCCCCTCGTGGGTCCTGACTTTGTGCCAGCTTGCCCCTGGCGGTGATGGATTCTGTGTCAACTTGACCGGGCCAAGGGGTGCTCGGCTGTGTGGTCAGACATCCTGGCTGCCTCCGTGAGGGTCTTTTGGACGAAGCCAGCATGGACCTCGATAGATTTAGGCGGGTGCCCTCTGTAATGTGTGTTTCGGGAGTGGGGGGGGGTCGTCCTCCCCCCAGCCAGACTTGCCCCTCCTGCCTGCCTTCAGACAGGGACCGGAGAGGGAGGGACTCTGCCCAGCCTTGCTGCTTCCCTTTGGAATCTCCGTGGAAACTGCCTCCACGCTGTAACCCTCCCACCCTGCCTGCAAAGCTGGCACCACGCGGGCAATGCCAAGGTCTGCCACCAGCAGGATGCGCACCTGCGCCTGGGAAACCGGAATCCAGAGCTGGCCCAGGGCACCCAGGGGCTCCTTGCAGACAGGACGCCACCCCCTCCAGGCCTCTGATGCACCCGCCCTGGGAGGGGCAGCCCCAGGGATCACTGAGATGCCCTCAGGTCTTCCTCCCATTGTCCTGGGGTCTCCGGCCCTGAGTCCCAGTGGGGGTCCTGCACAGTCCCCTCCGCCAAGCACCTGTGGCCTGGCAAGAATGGACTGGAATCAAGTGGTCACTTTTTTCCCCATTTCACTTGCAGAAGTTCAGGGGCTCTGTCCCCGTCCGGGGCAACTGTCCAGGGCGGCTGTCCCCAGGGAGGAAGAGGATGGAGCCAGGGAGAGGCGGGGAGAAAGGGCAGAGAGAGTGGAGCGGAAGTTCCAAGGGAGAAGGGGCGGGGCAAGGAGGCTGGGCGGCCTCAGGCCCTAAGGGCTGCACCTGCTTTGGGTTTTCCTTCTGCAGCCTGGACAGCCACAGCACAGTTTTGGGCAGGCGAATCCTGACCTGGGCGGCTCTCAGGGACCGGGAGAGGCCAACCGCCTCCCACGGTGCAGGCCGCAGATCACGAACACACGGGGGCTGAGCTAGAAGCGGTGACGGAGAATGGCGCCACCCGCAGAGCAGATCACAGACTGCATTCGGCGGGGCCTTAGGGAGTGAGACCTGGGCCCTACCCCAGGCAGGGACAAGGCCAGGAGCTGAGAGGTGAGAGGACACGACTGAATCCCGAGTCCACGGCACACAGGTGGGCCCCGCGGTGCCCCCGGCTCCCCCTCCCCTGCACGAGGTGCTGAGCACAGGGGACAGCGCAGGGGGCCACTGTCAGGCACGATTCCACCTCTGCCCACGCCGGCTGCCTGTCTTGGTTTTCTGTAAAAGAGGACAGACATGGTGCCCATGGCAGCAGCTTGCTCGCGGCAGGCCGGCAGATGATGCCGTGTAGCAGAGCCCCGCAGCCACTCCCCTCCCAAGCAGCTCTCGCCTGTCCCTCCACGTCCTGCTGCTAGCAACAGTGGCGGGGGCCAGAAGCCATCACCCCCTTGCCGCCTTTCCCAGGCTCTGGGAAAATTCTTTCCAAAGCAGAGTTTTGGAGCCGGGAGGTCAAGTGGCCTTGCTCTCAAACACTTGGCTGCTGTGCCCTGTGCTGTGTAGAGTCGGGAGTTTGGGGAGAGAGAGCCATTAAAGCAACTGCAGGTCAGGGTCAGTGGCACCCACTCTCCCGCCCACATGTCCACCCACCCACCCACTCATCCATCCATCCATCCACCCACCCATCCATCCTTCTGTTCACCCATCCACCCATCCACCCATCCACCCACAGACCTGCATTTACATCCCAGCACCAATGAGTCCTCGTTGCACACATTACCTCCCGTCTCCAGCACTCAGTTTCTCCATCTATAAAATGGGAGTTGATGGAGGGGTCCCAGGGGTCCAACGGGTAGCCCTCGTGGAGGACCCCAGCCCCTCCCCCACCCCAGGTGGTCTGGAAAACCCCGTCTCCCAAGCGGGCCCAGAGTCTGATTGGTATGGCCTTTATTGTCTCTCCATCATTTTCCAGAATAATCGGGGGGTGTGTGTGGGGGTGTTCATCTGAGGGTCGCAGGGGTCGGGGGAGTAAAAAATGACATAAACAAACCGAACAGCAGGAGGGGGGGCTGTGACGGGGGCTTCGGGGTGGGGGGTGGAAGGTCCCAGCAGGCAGTCAGCACCTCTTAGCTTTCAGACACCAGAGTGGAGAATTCTGCAAAAGCGAACCACACAGCGAGGTGAGTCCCGGGGGCGGGGAAGTTGGCCTGAGCCCCGCCTCCCGCGAACTTGGCCTGAGCCCCGCCTCCCGCGAACAGGGCCTGAGCCCCGCCTCCCGCAAACTTGGCCTGAGCCCCGCCTCCCGCGCCGCTTACTGCTGCTGCTTGCAATCCCTGCGGCAGACCCAGAGGGAGGGGAAGCCTGAGTGTGGGAGTGCGTGAACCCATGAAAGGAGAGGAGAGGCGCGGAGGCTCCCGGGTCTCCTGCTCACACGCACGGTTAGAGATTTCCTGAGCCACCTCCAACAGACCGTACAGGCGCGTTTTTCTCATCAGGCCCATTCTGCAGGTGAGGAAGCTGAGGCTCACGGCCCAGCAGTTTTTCTAAACTTCTCTGCTGCCCCCCAACCCCAGGAGATGAGACAGGACGAGGACTTTGCCACCGCAAGCCACGGTGTCTCTGAGGTGCCGTGTCCCAGGCCTGCCGGGAGGTGCAGGGTCTCGGGCAAGTCCCCGTCGCAGTCTTGCAGTGTGGGGGAGACTGGCCTGGGGAGCAGGAGCTGGGAGCCCCAGGCCTACCCTGGTTCTGTTTGCCGGCAAAGGTGCCTGCCTGCGGGTTCAGTCCCCTTACCTATCCGCGGAGCGCAGAGAGGGGACAGGAGCCATTCCCTGTGAGGGACAGAGGCCAGGCTGGTGTGGAATGGCTTCAGAAAGTGCCGGGGACGGCCCAGGGCACGGCTCACCCTCTTGGGCTTGGCGGGGGCGCACTGGCAGAGCCCACCCGATGCCCTGGCTGGCTTCTCGCTGCCCCGTGGGCTTTTCTACACTGATTCGCAGGTCAGACTTCTGATGGCCACACATGCCACGCCGTGGCAACCACCAGCGCTGGCCCAGACCACGTGCGGGGACGCGCATCTGAGCTCCTCCGCTTTCTGGGGTTTGGCCTGGGAAACAGACACCGCCCTCTCTTGTCCCCAGACTGCCGGCAACATCCATGGCCAGGATCGGGCACTCACGGGCTCTCTGCCTGGAACGCGTTTCACATAGATGGTCTCTGTCCACGGCTACGCCACGGCAGACGCACTTCCGTATGGTTTTTTGTTTTTTTGGACAGGCAGAGTGGACAGTGAGAGAGAGAGAGAGACAGAGAGAAAGGTCTTCCTTTTGCCGTTGGTTCACCCTCCAATGGCCGCCATGGCTGGCGCGCTGCGGCCGGCGTACCGCGCTGATCCGATGGCAGGAGCCAGGAGCCAGGTGCTTTTCCTGGTCTCCCATGGGGTGCAGGGCCCAAGCACTTGGGCCATCCTTCCCTGCACTCCCTGGCCACAGCAGAGAGCTGGCCTGGAAGAGGGGCAACCGGGACAGAATCCGGAGCCCCGACCGGGACTAGAACCTGGTGTGCCGGCGCCGCTAGGCAGAAGATTAGCCTAGTGAGCCGCGGCGCCGGCCAGCAGACACACTTCTGTGTGTGCATTACAGACGGGGGGACCAAGACCCGGGACCTCAGCGGCTCGACCATGGCCACACAGTGGACACGAGCATGCACGTTCTTGGGCCACCCTTCCCAACCTGCGGGTCCTCAGCCTGCCCTGACCTAGGCGTAGGGCCACGCGTCCCGGCTCACATGTCCCCACGGCCACTGCTGTCGCCTCAGCCTGTCTCAGTCTGCGTGGTTCCCAGCCCTCTCTGGGACAGGGTCTTGTTTATGGACTCACTGCTGCAAAGCCCTGGAGGGAGGGGAAGCCTGCCTCTCCCGTCCGCGCAACGTGGGTGCAACAGAGCCTGAGCACCCCCTGCCTTCCAGCCCCGCGTAGGGGTCTCAGCTGTTCCCTTCCAGCACAGAGACACCTAAGACGTAGAGACTGCAAGGAGCCGGCTCTGGTCCTCCCCTTCCCAGCAGCGCTGGCCCCCGGACCTCGCCTGGAACCCCCAGGCTCCCTGACTGTTCATCGGAAGAGTTCAGGAATCACCTTCACCCCGGCCGGGACTGCGTGCAGCCGGCGGGGAGGGGCCGAGGGACTCGGAGGAAGTGGGCAGCCCAGCAGGTGGGAGCCCCGCTGAGGGTGACTTTCAGGATTGGGGGTTGGATGCGAAACCCTCTTAAGTCAGACCCCGTGCCTGCCCTGAGGTCTCTGACGCAGCCGGGATGTCACGAGGCCCCCGGGCCCTGGCTTTTTTAAGAGAACACAAGATTCTAATTTTGTCCCATCCCAGCCTTGGCGAGGGCAGAGGGCAGCTCTCCTGTCCCTTTCTGCCTGCCTCGGGCAGCGCGGTTAGAAGCCAGGCAATTAACTCCCAGCAGCCCGTCAAGGGCGCTTCCTCTAAGAGCTTCCCGGAGCTGCGCAGCCCTCGCCCCAGCAAAGACGCAGGGACAGGAGCGAAGCCGCGGAAGTCCAGCTCCTGAGTCTGTGGGGCGTCCGCTCTGGGGGATGTCCCTCCGACGCTCACCCCGGGGTTTGGGGCAAGCGGGCTGAGGGTCAGCTCCCGCCTCCTGTTCCTTGCTTCTGTAACCTTCAAGTAGATCCTCTGCCTCAGTTTCCTCATCTGTAAAATGGAGCTAGGACAGCACCTACCTCCTGGGCTAACGCTACATCCGGTAGCAGTTGGATTCTAGATGTTTCTATGCTTTGGGCCACTTTGAAACCAAGCCTATGCAACGTCTGGTGACTGCCGGGTGCAGGCAGGGCCCTGGAGGTGGCAGCGGGACTCTCATTAGCATCCGAGCTGCTCTTGCTGCTGGCTTCCGTCTCCGTCACCCCCACCACTGCCTGACTCCACCCTGGCACCAGCCTGCAGCCTTCCAGCAGCCCTGGAGCTGGGTCCAGCGCCACCTGGTGGAGGGGCCGGGGTCACTATTTTACCTCTCTGTGCCTCAGTTTTCTCGTCTGCAGGGTGGGTACAACAATGCCTACTTGCACAGCTATGAGAAAGACCAGCAGAGAAGATAAAGATGCCAGGCACACAGTAGGTGGTTTATGAGTGCTAGGCCCACCCCCTCGGAGCTCCTATGCACAAGTGATGCAGAGTGAATGGGCATACCGAGGCTCACCCCCACCTCCCCAAAATAAAGGTAGCAGCAGGGGCTACATGAGTAACAGACCAGAAGTGCCTTGTGCTCAGCTGCATCTCGCAGCCGGGGCACAGATCAGCTCTAACTGTGCAGCCCTGACAGCCCGCGTTCCTTGAGAGGGATCCGGAACCCTCTCCCTGCAAGACTCTGGCCAAGTGCAGCACCGCCCGTGCGGCCAGAGGCCACCCCAAGCTTGCTACAGCCTCCTCGTCTGATCGGAAAGAGCCCCAGGCAGGGGGAGGCGGCAGACGAGAAGATGCGCGGACTCTGTTCTTTCCTTTCCCTTCGGAAACTGCAATTGGCCTAATTAGGTCCGCTCCAGGCCGGTGCCACTGGGATCGGACAAATTTAGAAGCTATTGACAGGTGGGACCGGCACACGCTGATAGCCTGGAGTGAAACCGAGACCGTCAGAGTCAGCGGCTGGACGCTGCCTCCCGGCCTCTGTCGTGGTGAGCGGGGACGAGGACCCGGTCTCCTGGTTTTATCCCCTTGCCTCGAAATAGCTCCCGGCTCGAGTTCTTATAAATTAGTATTGTAAGCAGGGATCACTTTCCCGTGACAGGAGGCAGGGTCATTTGGGGTCAAGCCGGCCAGCCGCGAGGAGGCAACGTAAACAGTTCTGGGGCATCCGTCTGTGCCAGGCGCTGCCCCGCATGGTCCTGCATTCCAGCCTCGCCGGTTCTCTCATCCCCATTCTTCCTGCAAGGGAAACTGAGGCCAAGAGTGGCTCACCAGGGTGATGCTAACTCAGGTGTGGCTCCCACCAGGGTGCTCCTCAGCGGTGCCGGCGGGGTGGAGGGGAGGGGGTGTCCCACGCCCCATGCGGGGACCCCATCTGCAGCCCTCGTGCAGAAGGAGAGAGACAAACGGCCCACATCCTCCTGCGGCCCTGACCGCGGCTCCATCTCGCAGGGGGCCGGTTACATAAGCAGCGCCGAAGCTTATCTGGTGCAGCATAAGGGCTGGGGCTGGGGAAAGTCCATGCGGGAATAGTAAGGAGCAGACTTGCCAAGTACAGAAACCGTTCCGAACTGCAAAGTCTCAGCCCTGCCCAGGGCGGGGTGGAGGAAGTCAGGAGACCCAGGTCTCCCTCAGCCGGGGATCTGCCACGTGCCCTTGGCATCCAACGACCTCAGGTTCCACATCCATGGGTGGGGCTCAGGGTCCTGGCCCTCCCAGAGCTGGTGCGAGGCTCAGCTCTGCTGGGATCAAATCCCACCGGGGGTGGAGGCTGGGATTACAGGCAGGCGGGGAGCCTCTCCTTCCCCGCTCTGGCCTTTCTCTCCTCTGAAACTCAGCTTGGGTTGTGTTAAGGACGGGACCCCGCTGCTTCCCAAGGGTTAAGCCGAGACTTAGTGGGGCTGCATTCACAGGCAGTAAGAGGAAAGAATTCATGTCCAGAACATTCGGACAGAATGGATGCCCCAAGGGCTGAAATGCCAAGGTCACATCCAGGCCTGGTTCCTGTGCTTCTGGGAGGGGAGGGTCTTCCTGCATCGCTCCCACCCGCCCAGCAGGCTTAACAGGCTACTGAAGGATGAGCGAGCACAGATTTTGCTGGAAGGAAGCAGAAGCGGCAAATGCCTTCAGGTGGGAGCGTGGAGCGGCCACCGTGGTGGGGCGATCGCGAGGTCGAAGGCTTCAGCAAGGGGGGTTGCAAAATCAAGCCACAGGCTCCCGAGGGAGAAGAGGCTTAGAGCACAGGAAAGCGGGCCCTCCCCCAGTCGGGCTTCAGGGCACAGGGAAGGGGCGTGCAGGCGTGCCTACAGGGGCGTGCGGATCCTGCGAGCAGCCCCAGGACTGAGACCTCTGGAGCCAGCGTTTGAATGGGGCCGATGCCTCGCAGCGGTGGCCGTGCCTCCCCCGCGGACGCTGCCCTTTGTGGAGCTGCGCTGAGCTGTGGAGCGCCGAGAGAGGCAGGGCCTGTGTGCACACCCTGGCCCCAGGAAGGCAGCAGGGGTGCTCACCTCATTCTAGTCGCTGTGCGTCTTCCTCCGGGGCAGGCTGTGGGTTGGAGAGCCCGGGCTGGGGACACAGGTGTGTGCGAGGCAGGCCAGGTCCTAGCTCTGCCCCTGAGTGACCCTGGGCCTGCCACTTAACCCCCCCCCCCCAGTGCCTCCATTCCCTCACCTGTAAAACAGGGATAGGAGCACCTCCTGCCTAGGGCTGTTTAAGGCTCACTACACCATCAGGCGCCACCTGGTATCTTGGTAGAAAGGCAACAACTTCAGCGCCACCCGGGAGTCTGCCCTGGGTGCTGTGAAAAGCCCTCCAGGTGGTTCTGACAGCGGCTACGCTTGGACACCCCTCGGCGTGTGAAGGTCAACTGCGTGAAAAGGCACCTGCTGCATTGTCCATGCACCTGCCTCACTCTCTGCACCTGCTTTGGTGCTGGGGCTTTGCACCTGCAGCAGGGGTCTGGGGACCTCCCCCATCTTTCTAGCTCCTCTCCCCTTCAATACCTTAGCCCACACGCCCACCCAGGCCAGCCGGGCACAGTCTTTCTGTGTGGCTGGGAAGAGTCGATTGACCGCATCTATAAACGTCCTGGAGCTTCCTGCAAGTAGTCACCCCAGAGACGGGAGTGCAGAGGGTTATTATTAGAACGCTGTCTTTCTGGCCCCTCCCTTCAGTCTGGGACCCTAGAGAACCCAGGAAATAGCACTCACCTTCGGAAGGACAAAGACAACCGTGACAGAGGCAGTCCCTGGCCCCAGATGCACCCAGCACCTGCAGCGTGCAAGTCCCTGCTGGCCGGGTCTCCACCCGTGGCCTGCACACAGCCTCTGCCTACCCACAGGGCAATGCTTCCTTATACTGCATGCCCAGAGCTGGACACATCCCCAGACCAGGTACTGAGGCCAGAACTGCATAGAACAAAGCCCCTGCCGTGTAGGGCTGACATCTCAGCAGCAGAGAGAGAAGCGAATGGCAGGTCACTACACAAAGCCGTCCAGCGGTGGCTGCTCCCCAAACTTCAAGCGCACAAGTGGAAGAGGCAGTCCAGGGCTTGCGCATCGGAACCCAACAGACCCGAATTCAGATCCAGTCATGGGAATTCAGGCAAACTCTGAGCCTTGGGGTTCTCACCCGCAGAATGGGCGAGTAGTAGCAGCCACCCCCCCCCCCCATAGCCAGCGCCGTGGCTCAATAGGCTAATCCTCCGCCTTGCGGCGCCGGCACACTGGGTTCTAGTCCCGATCGGGGTGCCGGATTCTGTCCCGGTTGCCCTTCTTCCAGGCCAGCTCTCTGCTGTGGCCAGGGAGTGCAGTGGAGGATGGCCCAAGTGCTTGGGCCCTGCACCCCATGGGAGACCAGGAAAAGCACCTGGCTCCTGCCTTCGGATCAGTGTGGCGCGCCGGCCGTGGCGGCCATTGGAGGATGAACCAACGACAAAAGGAAGACCTTTCTCTCTGTCCCTCTCTCTCTCTCACTGTCCACTCTGCCTGTAAAAAAAAAAAAAAAAAAAAAAAAAAAAAGTAGCAGCCACCCCCAAGCTGGCAAGGAAGAGTGATGAGGAAGGGCCAAGCACAGTGCCTGGAGGCGCCCCATGAAGTCTGGGTGCCTGCTCTCATTGGTCAAGGTCACGCCTGTGCTCAGCTGGTCCACACGTGCAGCTTTACCCATCAGGGCATCCAGAGCTGGAAAGGACGCAGGGACTGGCTAGCGATCGGACCCTCGTTTCACAGACTGAGACTCTACAAGGCAGAGGGTTCAGTCACCTGTTCCAGGTCTTTCTGGGAGTTGAAGGCACCTGTTGGCTGGGAGTGCAGCTCGGACCCTTCTGGCTTTCAGAGGGAGCTGGCAGCCCACAGAGCACCCCAGGCAGACCCCCTGGAGCCCTGCAATGGGTTTTGCCTCCTGCCTGGGACCCCCTGGGCAGCACCAAGTCCACTCTTCCTGCATCTGGGAGGTGGGAGGGGAGAGGGGCCTCCTGCATCTTTCCCCCTCCAAAGCATGAAGCGCGGGTCCCCAGCCCAGGGTGGGCCATGCTCGCCCCCCCCTTTCAGCTCTTCTGTCCACCATTTTTGTGTTCTGCCCCAGTCCCAGGAGCTCAGTGGAAGCCGTACAGGTTGGCCTGGGCCTGGACTGAGCTGCCAGACAGACCTGGGGCAGAGCCTTGGTTCTGGCACCTGCTGGCAGTGTGGTCTAGGACCCCCTGAGCTGCCCTTTCCGCACGGGCACCTACACCACCCCCTGTTCTTCCAAGGTCACACGATATGACACTCGGACAGAGCCCAGCCCTGGGCCGTGGCCCTGCCACGTACCCAGGTCACCTCTCTCCACTCCCCCATCTTCTTGCCTCTTTCCAAACACACCTCAACTTGCCAGCCTTCGTTTGTCATTGCCAGCACCTTGCCTGGTCCTCCCATCACCTGCCCCTCCCAGCCTGCGGCAACCCTGGCCTATAGCCCTCGGAATCCGTTCAAGGTGCCTGCTGCCCGCCCCTCCCTGCCTCTGCCTGGCTGAGCATCCCTAGGCTGAAATCTGAAATCTAAAACTCCCTGACCTCAGACACGATGCTATGCAAATATTCCAAAGTCTGGGTGGGGGACACCTGACACGCTTCTGGTCCCAAGCTTTCTGGGTAAGAGATGCTCATGCCATAGGATCATTCTCTTGTGTGCACTCAGGGAGAGCTGCAGGCAACGTGCCCACGTGACCGTGCCCAGTTTACAGGAGAGAAGACTGAGGCTGAGGGCCACAGAGCTGCTGCCCAGGGGCTCCCAGCCAGGACTCGGTGCCTCTGAGCCGTCCGTCGTAACCTCCTCCCTTCCCCCCTGCCACCGTGGACCAGAGCTGCTTCCGTGGATGCCTGCGGGGTCTCTGGGAAGGGCTGAGTTGGCTCTTTAAGGTCTGGGTGTGGCAGGGAGGGAGGAAAGCAGGGAGACGGGGAACCAGGCCTGGGCCGCCCTGGTTTTTCTCCAGTATTTCGGTTGTCTGTGTGCAGCCAGCCATGAAGACCCTGCCCCGGGCTTCTGAGCTGTGGCATCTTGGCCTCAAATAAAAATGTGAGGCAGGTCTGGGGGCCTGGGTGGGGGTCAGGGTGAAGGGCAGGGCTGCAGGCGGAGCTGATGAGAGGGGCGAGGGTGGGGGGAGCACCTGCTCTCAGCAGCATCACGAAGAGCAGCCCCTCTTCCACCCCCTGCACGCCGGCTCCTTCGCAGCCACCTCCCTCCTGCCCGCTGGCCTCACCTGACCTTGCTAGTCCCCATTCCTGTTTCTGGTGCACACAGAAACAGTTTTAATAAACTGACCCTCCCTTTCAGAATCCTCGTGCCTGTCCCCAAGCGATTTTGTGTCTGTGGCCACTTCATTTGCACAACGAGCCTGAGCCCATCTGAGAAGCTTGCGCGTCCCATTTATCATGCACGGGAACCCGGGTGGGGAGAGGCGACGGGGTCAAGGGCACAGCTGGCAACGGGCAAGAGGAAGCCGAGCACGGGGAACGGGCGACAGCTGTTGCGGACGCTCCTGCCTCGTGTCAGCCCTTGGCTCCGCACTGGGGACAAAAGGATGAGCGGAACCCACTCCCTAGTGCACGCACGGAGCGCGTTTCCGCTGTGCCAGGTGCCGTTTCGGCCCCCGACAGCAAGCTTTGTCGACAGGTAATACGCATGCCGACCCTACGAGATAGCAGCTACCTCCAGCCTCAGCTCAGACATGAGAAAACGGGGCGCAGCGGCGTCCTGCCAACTGTTCAAGGTCATGCAGCCACGAAATAGCAGGGCTGGGACTGGAACCCAGAGGCCCAACAGCTGCACCCCAGCTTTCCCTCGGATGCAGGCAGGACGATCTGGGGAACAGACGGTAGCAGGGGGACCCAAAGCCCTGGCTGCACAGCCGAGACCTCCACCACCGCGCCCTGCCTTTGCCCTAGGCTGAGCCGACATGCACTCCCAAGGACGTGGTGATGCTGAGAGAGAGAGCAAGGCACGAGGCCGCTTAGGAGGACCAGGGTGTGGGGTGCTGGTCGCCAGCCTCCTGCTCAGGCATCCCCCCTTCTTCTATGTCCTGGAGACTCCCGGCTGGCTGTTTCCCCTGGCTCTCTGACACCCATGGAACGGAGCATTTGAGCACAGCCCACACCGGGCTGGAGAGTTGAGAGGGCAGCCGGGCAGGATGCTGGGGAGGACAGGAGATAAGGATTTCCATGCCTGGAATCTGAGACTGGGGGGGGGGGCGGGGGCCCCCCGGGGGTCAGGTGGCCTCGTTCCCTCAGAGGACAGATGAGAGACAGAGGCCCAGAGAGGGAGAAAGACTGCCCAAGGTCACACAGCAGGGTGGGATTAGTGTCAGCACCAGAACCCAGGCTAAAAAGGGCAGGCAAGGTTCAGAAAAAAATGCCTGATTTCCTAGGCTCCTGGTCCAGTAGGGGCAAAGACAAGACTTCACTCCTTCTGGGTTGTGTGAAATTAGAAAAAGCTATCAGGTTTTCACTGGCTGTCTTATGACCTCGTAGGTTGACTTTTTCCTCCTAACCCTGGAGGTGAGGGCCCTCGACTCCCACGCCTGTCACAGACACAGCCTCAGATCCACACAGCCCCAGGGCGCCCGGCCCCGAGCGCGCAGCTACCCACCATCCGCCCCGATCTTGCCGTCCCCATCCTTGTCGCCGGCAGCCATCAGCGTCTTGGTTTCTTTCACAGACAGGTCTCGGGCGTCTGGGGAGAAGCCCTTCAGGATGAATCTGGAGGATGGAGGGGAGGAAGCAGAGGAGGGAGTCAGGGCCAAGGTCACCTTGCAGCAACACGGGGCGGGGGTGGGAATGGGGCAACTGGACAGGCAGCAAACAGCAGGCTTGCGTGCAGCTGTGCAGGGCGGGGTAGCCTGACCGTGCAGGGCCTGGGGTGGGGCACAGGCTGTCCTCCGGGGTCGACCCCGCTTCATTTTAAAATCCATTCAACCAACGTGTCTGGAGAGCAGGGCTGTGCCGAAGACCAAGAGCACAGTGGGGACCTTAGGAAGCCCCGGAAGAAATGGGGAGAGGCCCCGGAGGGTGAGGGGTGCCGTGATGGCGGAGGCAAGGAGAGAGGCACCCAGGGAAGGCGCCCATCCCCCACGGGGAGAACGGAGGTGACGCCCGGGGCAGAGGGAGAAGTCAGCCTGGGAGTGGCTGTGTACCCGTGACTTGGGTGTGGGTGGGCAGCAGAAGGTTCTAGATACGGGTACCCTTGTGAGATGGCTTAGGGGACACACAGGATAGGCAGGGGACGTCTCTACTCAAAAGGCCTCTCTCACCCCTCTCCTTTCTCTGAACAAAAGTGGGCACAGCCGTGGCCCCAGAGAGGCGTGAGGCACAGTCGGGTGGGCAGGTACAGGCCGGGTGGCAGAGGCACGGCTCTTTGCTGCCAGTTTGCATTTGCCTAATCACAACCTTCTCCCCCTCCGCCTCGCTCCAGGGAGCCCTGACACCCTCCCACCCCCGCAAAGCTGGCCCAGAGGGCGCTGGGCTCTGCAGGTGGGCGGTGGAAGGTGGCTTTCAGACAGGCAGAAATCAGTGAAGACCGAAGCCACGGAGCGTCTGGCCGGGCAGCGCGGTGAGGCGGCGAGAGCGCGGGCTCTCTGTGTGTGCTCGATTACTAAGCAGCGTCCCTCCATTAGCGATATTAAGTGGCTATGATTTAACCGAGTCGGCTGAGGGGCATTAGCCCAGCCGGCCGTGGGCCCTGCGGTCACCCGCAGCTGGCGAGAGAAGGGTGGCGAGAGTCCCCCTCCCCGCCCCCGCCAGCCTCCGTGTACCCCAGCTCTTCCTCCTCGATGAAGCCGCTCTTGTCCTTGTCCAGGATGTGGAACACTTTCTTCACGTCTTCCGTGCTCTTCTTCTTCAGCCCCACCATTTGGAAGAACTTTTTGTGGTCGAAGGACTCGGCGGCTGTGGGGGGAGGGGAGGAGCAGGTGACAGGAGGCAAGGAGGGGCCCAGGGGAGGCTGGGGGAGGGTAGTTGTAGGGTAGGGGCTCCCACACACCAGTGGTGCGGGGCTCCGGGGTCCCAGGCAAAGGCAGGTGTCTCCTCCATCCAAGGTCACGCAGCCAGGGTGGGAGACGACCTCCTTCCCCAACCGCACTGCACCTTTCCCCGAACACCTAACAGACCCTTTTGGCCTCCTGAGTTTCCATGGAGGCTTGGGGCAGCGGTGGGAGTGAGCGGGGAGATGAACGTGGGGAGAGCAGAGCCCGGTGCGGGCATCTGCACAGAGGTGGGGGAGGGGGAGGCTGACCTCTTTCTCGAACCACAGACCAGACTGCGTCTCCAGGAAATGGACAAGGAGAGAACCAGTTTCTCTCAAGGTCACAGGGTGGGGGGAGGGGGAAGGGCCTGGAGTCACCTGTTCTAGGGGCTCACGTGGAGGGGGCTGGGGGATGATCGCCCAGCCACGCTGCTTCTGTGACTCAGGGCAGAGAGCATGGGTACCACGGTGCCCTGGGAGGAGGCTTCCCCGGGGAAGGTGCTGAGTGGAGGGGGATGGGAGCCCGTCCTGCTCCCCAGTTTCCTGTCTTGAGGTTCCTTGTTGGAGCATCCTGGGGAGAGTGCAATGGTCCACTGAGTGTGTGTGTGCATATGTGTGAGCATGTGTGTGTACATGTGTGTGCACCTGTGTGTGTGTGTGTGTGTGTGTGGTTGGAGGAGGAGAGGCTGTTGAGAGTCACTCTCCCTCAGCCCAGGTTCAGAGGGAGACAGCTTAAGCCACTCTAAGCACCTCTGACTCCAGGTTGGGAGACACCTGGACCCCTCCTGTGTGCCCTTGGACAAGTCTTTCCTCCTCTCCCAGCCTCCCTTTCCCCGGGGGAGGGGGAGGGCACTGCTGGTTCGCCCTTGGTCCTCTGGAAGGGGCTGGAAGCAGAGCTGAGCGCTCCCTAGGGAAGGTCACCTCCCCCCGCGCCAGCCCGTAGCCCGTCGGTGGCGAGGGTCCCAGACCGCAGGGAGGGGGCTGGGACAGTCGGGAGCGGGGGACATCGCGGGCGAGAAAAGTCCTGTTCAGAATAGGGGTCAAGGAAAGGGGCCCCGGGGGAGAGAAAGCGGGCGCGCCGGCAGCCCCTCCACGTGCCTTCCAGGGGAGTCCTGAGCGCGCCCAAGGACCCGGGAGGTCCCTCCCGCCGCCAGCTCTTTGCCCTTGGTCCCCGGACCCAGCGTCCTCCCGGCGGGGCCAGGCGCCCGCGAGTTTGCATTGTTCGGGCAGGACGCTCCCCGCGCCAAGTCCCGCCTGGACCGAGTTTGGGAAATGCTGAGCCTCCCTGCCCCACCACACACCTCCGCCCCCGGCCCCCAGCACACACCGGTCCCCCGCGCCCCGCTGGATGCGTGGGCAGGGGAGCGCCGGGGAGGATGCGCGGGCTGCGGGGCAGCAGAGGTGCGGGGCGAGGGTGCAGGATGAGAGGGGAGGGCGGGGAGGGTGGTGCGCTGCTCACCCGCAAAGGCGCCTATTGCCTTCTTGATGTCCTCAGCGTTGAGCAACTCTGTCATCGCCATCCTGCAACTGTTTGAGCGGGCAGAGCAAGTGCGAAAAGATTAAAAAGTGCTTTTCTCATCATTTCTGCTCATATGACCAGCGCTGCAGTGCCGCGCGCCCGGCGCACGCCCGCCCGCCCTGGCACCGCGCCAGGGGCGCCGGGCGCCGCGCGCCGCGGGAACAGCTCAGTCCCGCCGCACGCGCGGCTGAGCAGCGCCCACCCTAAGCCTTCCCCGCCCCGCACTGCCCAGCCGGAGGTCTTGGGGTCCCAGGGGTTGCCGTGGGGGCGCGAGGGGCAGGGGCAAGCTCTGGATGATTCGGGGGCTCCTGCTCCACCAGGCGGGTCTAGGCAGTTTGCTCCCTTCCGGGACACGCAGGAGGCGGGGGTCTCCGACCTGGGCTCCTAGGGAGATGTCCGGGGCTTGGGAAGGTCCCGGGCTTCAGGGTCCAGGCTATGCCCTCTCGGGCCCCTCCTCCACCCGGCTCCCTCCGGTCTCTTTCCTCTCCTACCCCAGCCTTCAATGCTTGGTCCTGGATGCAAATTTATGCTGCAAAATCTGAGCCTGAGGTTGAGAAATCTGACCCAGGAGGGGCGGTGGCAGGGCCAGGGGCAGGGCCAGGGCCAGCTGCTGCCCCCCCACCCCGCAGGAGCCCTGCCACAGCTGGGCAGGGACACATGGTTCAGAAACCATTTTTTTTTTTAATTCTTTTTGCTTATTTGACTTTTCTAAGAACTGTTTCTCCCACCTCCTTGAACACTTACCTTCCTGCCTCCCTGCCCCCTCAATCCTTTCAGGGGTGCTACTTGGAATACACCTGTGGCCCCTCCCAGAAGGCACCAGGTGAGTTGGAGGAGGGGCGGCTCCGTCAGACCAGCTTTGCAGACTACCTATGCTGGCCGTGCGGTCTGAACCTCCCCTCTGGGGAAGGGGACACTCCCTAACTTTACCAGACTTTATACTGGGGCTTCCCGAGAGTGTGTGAGCACTGGACAAGGAGCCAGCCGGCCTGGGTTCCACACCAGGGGCCGCACTGAGCCCCGTGTGACCTTGGGGGCCGTCTTTGGGCTTCTGCGACCGTCTCTCGTGTTGGATGTAGCGGGATCTTGAGACCGCAGCTGGGCAGGTGGGCAGGGGCGGGGCCTGGGGGGAGCTGTCCAGCTGCCCGGCAGCTCGGGTTGCCTGATACTCGCTGTCAACACTGTCGCCCCCGGCTTGGCTCTGGATGGCTGCCCTCCCTGGAAACCTTAGGCGATGCTGGCTCCCGCCGCCCGGCTCCGGGTGAGTCAGCTCCTTCAGGCCCCAGCCCGCCAACTGGCTTCCAAGGCACCGGGCTGTAGCTCCTGACCCAGTATCTCTCCGCAGGAGGCCTCCCCATGCCCCTCAGCTGCTCGGGGCTCTGCTGCCCCTGCTGCCGCCGCCAGCACCTCGGCCCCTGGCTTCCAGCCGGCTGCCTGCTGGGGTGTGCTGTGTTGTGTGTTAGCATCTCGACTTGCAGGCTCTGCTCGCCGCAGGGGCCTGGTTAGAGAGGTATCATCCTGGCTGAGGGACCCTCACGCTATACAGGTAGGGCATTGGCCATGGCAGGGCGGGGCTCAGAGTGTGCGACTCCCCCTGTGACCCTCCCTGATCTTGGGGACCCAGCCCTGCAGAGTACCACGTGTCTGAGCACATGCTGGCTCCCTGAGAACCCCAAACTGGCCCCGTGGCAAAAGCCACCATCCTTCTTCCCTGCCTTCCTCCGCCTCTCCCATCAACGGGACACCTGCTCTGGACCCAGGTCCCCCCGGCTGCAGCCTCGGGCAGCGTGGCCCAGCGAGTCCATCCGCCCTCTTTACCCTGCCTCCTCTGGGTCCCCTCTGATGGCATTACCAGTCCCTGCATATCTGGCTCCGCCCCTCTTACGCCAAAGATGGGGTGGCATGAGGCCCAGGCAGGGGCATGGATTTGCCCCAGTGCCCACAGGAGCTGGGATGGAGAACGGGGTGGGGGGCCATTGTCTCAGGCCTGCAGTTCGCCCCAGCCCCTGGGTCCCTGGGGACGGGGACGTGTGTGGCTCTCCCTCCTGGCGGCCTCATCCCTGCAGCATCCCTCCGTCCTCCTCCTACCTCAGCAGCTGCCACTCACCTCGGGTGGGGGCGGAGGGCTGGAGCCTGCACTCAAGGGCTGGGCTGGTGGGCGATCCTGTCGGGAAGTGAGCCTGCTGGGGGCATGGCCGCCTATATAGGTCTCTGCCCCAGCTATTTCGGGAGGTGCTGCTGCCCCGGGCCCCGGCCCCCTCCCCTTCCGGTGTCAGGTACTCCCCACCCACGGTGCTGGGTGTCTGTATCACATTCACCCTCCCTGGGCCTATTAATAACCCTTGGCCCCTGCCTCCCTTCAGCACCCAAAATTGAGGCCCGAGCTGGGCTTGCCTCTTCCACGAAGCCTTCCATGACCACGTTAGATGGCAGCAGTGTTTCCTGCTTCTAAACCCTGCAAGGCAGAGAAAGGAGAGGCGAAGGCCTGGGCCAGGCTCCTACACACGTGCTCTCTTCTCACCATGGCCGTGCAGCCCACGAGCGGACATGGCTGGGAGAGGCACGATGCCAAGTGACCTGCCACTGCGCACCGGGGGCCTGGAGCCGGGAGTGGGCGTGGCATGCCCCCACGATGACCCACGCCTGGCAGGAAGCAGCGCCCTGCACGTCCTCGGATGGTTTCTATTGTGTCTCAGTCTCCCCATCTATAAAATGGGCTCCGTCGGAGGCAACCTGGGTCCTCTCTCTGGGCCTGGGGCCCCTGCAATTGGATGCGAGATGTCCCAGGCAAGGACGCTTGGCAGGGACGAAGGCGCAAAGCTCTCTGCCCTGGTGTCTTGCACTGGGGATGACCCCAAGACAAGCGCGAATGAATGAATGAGTGAATGAGTGAACGAGGGGTTTCACAAGTGTTTACTGAGTGTCTCAGAGGAACCCCAAGAGCTGCGCCCCTCCTCGCCTCTCACCTGAAAGAGGACCTCCAGGCTGCTGGCACTGTCAGGGTGGGGGAGGCGTGTCCAGTTCTGGACAGGGCAGGAGGAGGCTGAGCGTCCACGCAAAGCCTGCCGGGGAGCGAGTGCTTGGCCGGCGTTCAACATCGGTGCTGTGGGTGGGGAGGGCAGAGGGTGCCCAGCAATGGGGAAGCTGGGGCTGGGGCCTGCATGAGGATGGCGACAGTGGCAATGGGGGCGTGCGCACATGGGGGGCCGCTCCACGCGCACCCTCCTGGTGGAGGTGCTCAGGAGGTCTGGACTGTGGAGCGAGGTCAGGGCCGGCATAGGGCTTTGCCAGAGAGGTCAAGGAGGTAAAGTCATGGTCACGGCCGAGCTCCACGTGGCGGGCGTGCTGCGGCCCTGAGCACGGTGCCTCCAGGAAGCCCGCTGGACAGGGCCCGCAAGGCAATCCCTCCCACGGTGCAGCGCCCTCGCCACCACACCTGCATCCCCGTGGCGCCTTCAGGGGCAGGTGGTGCCCTCCCCATCCTGCCAACCAAAGAGCAAGGTTCAGAGGGGCTGGGCGACTTGCCTGAGGCCGCAACGCGGGGACAGAGCTTAAACCCAGGTTTCTCTGACTCTCAAGCACTTGTTCCCTTTTTCCCATAGTCCCCTGCTCTGGGCATAAGGCTGATTGACGCCTGGGGCAGCACCCACTGGGAGTGGATTCTCGGGAACCAAATCAGCCTTCCTGTTTGTCCCCTGAGTCTTCTCCCGGTACCTGGAATTAAGTGAATGTAGAGGGGCTGACCCAGACTGCGGGAGTACACTTATTGGGCACCGACTGTATATCTAGTGCTTTGAGCACGTTGTGTCACTTTGTCCCTCTCAGAGCCCTCAGGGGTTGAAGAACTAGAATTTCAGAGACACTTAGGGACTTGCCCAAGGCCACACAGCTGCAAGGTTAGTGGGAGGGCAGGATTTGAATGCAACTCTTCTGATTCCCACAGCCTTTAGTGGGAGCAGAGGCTCCTGCCCCAGTATCCGGAGCTTTTTGCTCTGAATCTGAGCTCATTCATGCAGGCGTCACCTCATTGCTTTGATTGATTTTACAAGAGCTGTAATGCCAGAAAAGGAGCTATCAATCCATCACAACTCTTGTGATTGCAACCGGCAGGACAGCTGGGCTCAGGCTGGCTGGAGACAAGGGGAGATTTATTGATTCGTGCAGCAGAAGCGTCCAGCAAGCTTCAGGTGTGGCTTGATCCAGAACTCCTGCTGCTTTTCTCTTCCTCAGCGACAGCTGGTGTCCGGTGCAGACTGGCTGGGTGGCCCCTGCCCCGCTGTAAACGTGCAGAGCCGCCACCTCCCCGGCAGCGTGAGCAGGGGTCCCAGAGCCGAGCTGGGCTGGCTGGCCGCGATCCGCTCAGTGCGGTCCATGGCGGTCCTAAATCGGGCACTCTGGGGGACCATCGGGAGCACAGCCCGGGGCCAGGGCGCCCCTCAGGCGTGGAAGGGGTGGGGAGTCAACCCCACAGGACATGCACGGGGAGGGGACCCTGGGCGCTCAGAGCCTGTGACGTCAGAGCTGAGGTAGCTTGGGGGGGTGCCCAGGACGCTGGGGATGTCCCTGTCCCGATCCTAGGCTCCTGGGTAGACGGGCAGGTGTGACACCCCCACACGGACTCCCCCTTCCTCCCGGGTCCTCATACAATGCGTGGCCTTCCGCTGACGCCCTCACAGATAGATGTTCCCACAGTGCACCCTAATACCCCCCTTCACAGATGAGCGAACCAGAGAAGTCAAGTCTCTTGCCCAAGGTCACACAGCACGCCGGGACCACACTGGCCTGCCTGCCTCCCCCGTATCAGGTGCTGTCCCCGAGCTCGCGCTCACGCCGGCCTCCCAGCTGCCGGCGCGTGGAGGCCGGTGTGTGTGGGTCAGCGGTCTCAGCACTGCCGGCTGCCAGGAGCCTGGCGTTCAGCTGTTAGCCTCGCTGGTGAGATTTCATCAGTTCACACTATTTCCACCTGCTGCGGCCGGGAACAGGATACAGAGTTCCTCCCGCCCGGGGCTCTAATGATATTTATGAGGTCAGCGTGGGGGGTGACGTGTATGAGCTCAAAAGACTCTCGGCTCCGCTCCTGGGCACTGGGGCTCCTGCCCGTGCAGCCCCAGTTAAGTACAGTCTCCGCTCAGAGAGCGGCCGAGGGAGGGAGGGCTGGTCGGCTGGCAGCCGGCAGCCGTGGGTCCCCACTGTGGCTCTGCCGCTTGCCCAGTGAGTCGTCAACGCTCTCTGGGCCTCAGTTTGTGAACCTGTGAAATGGAGCTGATGAGATCAGGCCTGAGAAAGGGGACCACTGCAGGGACCACTGTTGTGCTTGGCCTTGATCTGTCACCGGCGCTGCCCGGTGCCTGGGTGGGAGGACTCAGAGTGGCTTTATGGGCAGAAACCTGGAGAACCAGGCAGCGTCCAGGCCCGGTCACCTCCGGAGCCCGGGACTCGGTGCCCTCCCAGGGGAGGGGGAGAATGGGAGAGTGTGGCAGGTGCAGGTCCTGGGGGACGGTCCCAGACCCAGCGTGGTCTGGAGGCTGAGGAGGGTGGGGCTGGGCAAGCTCAGGCCACTGGGTTTGTGTGTGCCCTCGAAGCCCTGCCTGGAGGGAACCAGTACCAGGCGTGGTCTCCGTGAGGGCCCCGAGGCCCTGGCCGTGGCCGTGGGAGCCTGGCCTCCGGGGTTCTCTCCTTGGGGCGTGCCGAGTGCGGGTGCGGATGCAGAGGGATGCCGGGCTGTACAGGGTTGAAGGAGGCTCTGGGCTCCGAGATGCCTGGGTGCCCCCTACCCCCCGAGCCGACGGCCCTGTGTACCAAGCCCAGCGCAGAGCAGTGAGGAGACGCCCTCCCCATCACCTCGTCAGTCTCAGCCCTCGCCTGCCGTCTCCAAAACAGCCTGCACCCACGACAAAGCGCGAGGGTGCCCAGGGCAGGACGGCGTGTGCAGATGTGCCCGATACAGCATCTGTGTGTGCACGGGTGTGTGTGTGCATGTGTGGTGTGCATGCATGAGTACAATGTGTCTCTGTGTGCATGTGCTGCGTGCGCATGAGTGCCGTGTCTGTGTACGTGTGTATATGTAGTGTGTGCGTCTGTGTGCATGCGTGTGTGCATGTGTGTAATGTCTGTGCATGTGTACCCATGTGATGTGAGTGCATGTATCTGTGTGTGCACATGGGATGTGTGTCCGTGTGCACATGTGATGTGTGGCATGTGTGAGTGTGCATGTAGTGTGTCTCTGTGCATGAGTATAGCATGTGTGTGCTCATGTGTGTACGTATGTCTGTGTCCAGGGAAGGATCTATGGATTTCTGGACGCCCATCAGGGCTCCTGACTGCCTCTCACGGAGGTGGGGGCCTGAGCCTGCCCTGCCCCTCCAGCGGCCTCAGCGGGGACCCCAGCACCCGCCACGTTCTCTCTGCTCAGAGATCCAGCAAGGGCTGCTCCTCTGAACTCCTGTGGCCAAGGTGGGAGGGGGAGATGCACCTGCCGGGGCGGCTGTGCCCTGCTGTGTGAGGCCCCGATCCGTGGCCCTGGGCTGTTGGCGCCGGAGAGGGAAAGAGAGCTGTGGGGATGGCGAGGGACGGGTTGCCACCCTGCGGTCACAGATTCTGGACCACGCTCTCGGGAAACAGCACCAGTCCTTTCCTGTCTGTGTGACATTGTCTTGTAAAAGTGACACAAACTCTGTAAAGAAGCCACGGAAAATGGAGGAGCCGGGGGTGGGGGCAGAGCGGGGCAGCATCCCCAGCCATGCGACCCCAGTGCGACCCCAGTGCCAGTGTGTTTGCCTCTATGAGGCTGCCTGCTCCCCAACTCCCTCCAGCCCAGCCACCTGCTCCATGGCTCTTCCTGTGTTAGCTGTGGCCTCACCGCGTCCCGGAAGCCCTCCTGGCTTGCTTCCCCCGATGGCCGTGCTTTTGCCTGGATGGCGCCCGCCCTGTATCCCGCACGCGGTCTTGGTTGCAGCTGCCTTCTCAGTGAGAGCTGGAAGCAGCGCGGTCGGCAGGCGGCCTCGCTCCAGGAGGGACTCCAAGGAGGATAAATCAATGTGATGTTTTTATTTTTGGCTCTGTGTGTGGAGCGCTTGTTCGCTAAAACATTCTTGGGTTCCTACTAATCACACTGTCTCAGGCCACTTATTCACCTACCCGAGGGGCACCTGCCGGAACAGCCTTCCCCTGAGCTTGGCTGTGGATTCCTGAGCCCAGGGGCAGCTCACGCTTGGATGATGGGGGCCCCGGGGGAGCAGGGAGACGGAGGTTTG